CCTACCTGCCCCCCAGCTAGGCCAGGCTGGGTCAGACCAATGGCCCTGCTAGCCCAGTATCCTGTTGTGATGAAGTGAGACTGTTCTTGATGTTTCCTCTGAATAGTGTTGGGGTGCCTCAGTTTCCCCTATGCATTTCTTAAGTCTCTAGGTGGTGGGATAAAGGCCAGTGTGCATAAATGGCCGACACTCTGTCTCCTGGCAACTAATGGCCGGGGCCCTTCCCCCCTGCAAGGGGCTAGCTAAAGGTGTTAGAGAGCAAAGAGATCAGGTGACCTCCTGGCCCAGGAAAGAGACAAAGGCCAGAGAGGAGGGGCTGGAGGGGGTTTCAGTTTGGAGCTGGTTGGGGACGGGAAGTCAGGGCAGACGGGGTTGTCTGGCTCGCTGGGCCCCAGAATGGACCTGGCTGAGGGGCCCCGTTCACTGTACCTACAAGCTCTGTTTTAGACCGTGTTCCTGTCATCTAATAAACCTCTATTTTACTTGCTGGCTAAAAGCCACGTCTGACTGCGAAGTGGGGGTGCAGGACCCTCTAGCTTCCCCAGTACCGGCCTGGGCGGACTTGCTGTGGGAAGCGCACGGAGGGGCAGAGGATGCTGAATGCTCCAAGATCAGACCCAGAAAGGTGAAGCCGTGTGAGCTTCTTGCCCTGAAAACAGTCTGCTCTGAGAGAGGAGGCTCCCCAGAGTCCTGACTGGCTTTGTGGGGAGCAGTTCCAGAGCATCGCCCGGGGACTCCATCACACCTGGCTCTGACAGTTGCTGATGCCAGACGCTTCAGAGGGAACGAACAGAGCAGGGGAATTATCGAGTGATCCATCCCGTTGTCCAGTTCCAGCTTCTGGCAGTCAGAGGCGAGGGACACCCACATCCAGAGCATGGGGCTGGGTCCCTGCCCATCTTGGCTAATAACTACTGATGGACCGGTCCTCCAGGAGCTTTTTTTAACCCAGTTATAGTTGTGGCCTTCACAACATCCCCTGGCAAGGAGTTCCACAGGTTCACTGCGTTGTGCGAAGAATTACTTCCTTCTGTTTGTTGCTGCCTATTAATTTCCCGGTTCTTGTATGATGTGAATGGATAAATAATACTTCCCTAGTCACTTTCTCCAGACCAGGCACGATTTTATAGACCTCTGTCATATCCCCCTTAGTCATCTCTTTTCCAAGCTGAACAGTCCCCGTCTTTTAATCTCTGCTCCACCCTCTTCTCTGCGCCTTTCCCAATTCTAACCTCTTGGGTTAGAGCTGGGGCGACCAGCCCCGCACGCAGTCTGCCAGGTGTGGGTGTATACGGATTGATAGAGGGGCAGGATATTGACTCTCTCATGATCTATCTCAGTGGGTCTGAAACTTTTTTACTGGCGATCCCTTTCACCCAGCAAGTCTCTGAGTGTGACCCCCTAATAAATTAAACACACTTTTTATATATTTAACACCATTATAAATGCTGGAGGCAAGCAGGGTTTGGGGTGGAGGTTGACTGTTCGCGACCCCCCCATGTAATAACCTCATGACTCCCCTGAGGGGTCCCGACCCC